TATTATTGTTATATTTTTTTCCAGTACCAGGGATTGAACTCAGGACCTTGTGCTTGTGAGGAAGGTGTGGCGCCACTGAGCTAAATCCCTGGCCTGAAATTTTTCATTGTAGTAGGAAGAAAAACTTGGCTATTGTCACAAAAGACTTGAAAACAGAGGCTAGTTCTTTAGAGTTGTTGCTCTGGTCATTTAAAATTCTATTCTTTCAAGAGTAAAATCTTCAGTAGCTTTTACTTCAGCAGTGTAGGGTGACAAATTTGTTTTACTGAAAAGTTTGTTACGGAGTCTAAAGAGAACTGTTGCTTAAAAGTCTAAGTCAGTCCTGTTAATTCTAGAAAGAAATTTATCTTCAGCAGTCAGGCGTTCATACTTTGGAAACTTTTTTAAGCTGCTAGACTATTAAAGGCACATGAGAGAGCTGTTCTTAGAAAAGCAAATACATACTTTCATGTTCATTCTCTAAATAGGTCAAAAACATCATCTTATTCTGCTGCAAATACAGCAATATTGAAATTAAAATAAATTGACATTCTCGGCTTCTTCATTTGTCCAGAATAATTGCAAGGTCTTGTTTCCCAGGCCCTTGTATGACGTGGGTTTTTTTGGTGCTGGAACTTGAATTCAGGGCCTCAGTCTTGCCAAGCAGGCTCTGCACCGCTGAGCTACATCCCCAGCCTATGACCTGTTATCAGTAGGCTTTGGTTTAGGAGAAGTGGAGCTGGTAATGCAGTGTATTCGTTTCTGGATCCCGTGATGAATGTTTGTCATTGGGTCCTTTGGTTTCCAACGTGAATTGCATGTCATGAGTCAAAGCAGAGTAGAATTAAAAATATTGTTTTCATTAACTCTGAAAAGTTGACTTTAGCTCCTCACTGTTAACTTCATATCTTCTTTCTTAATACAGTGTGAGATTAAACTCGTCCCCAAACGCTCTCGTTTGGAGCTGAGAGCTGGAGACGAAGATGACGGAGAAGAGGAATCTGACTCTGATCACGAAACATCCGCCAAGGCTCGCTACTTCAGTTATATAAAGCAGGGCCTTTACTTGGTGACGGAGATGGAGCGATTTGCACCTCCACGGAAGCGGCCTCGGACCATTATGAAAAACTACCGCCTCGTGAGTCTGCGCTCCACGACCCCAGAGGAGCTGTATCAGAGAAAGGTGAGGGCACTGGCCATCGCGGAGTGCAGGCTCCGGCTCCGGCTCTGGCTCTGTGGAGAAGGCTGGTTCTTCACCGGAGGAAGTTAGAGAAGGACACCGGATCCTTGACATGGCAGAAACACCAGTATCATAAAGCTTCTGAAACTGATGCTAGGGTTTGCATCTGAATAATCAAAATGGGGTAACAGAACAATTCACATTGGCCGATTATCTGCCTTGGGGCTCAGCCTGGGTCTTTGCTCCTTTCTGTCCTTTAGTGCTCCCCTTACCCATATTTGGCACAGTTGCCTGCTCGCATCCAGAGGGTGAGTGCAGGCCTGCTTCCTGGTCAGGAGCCTGCTTGCTGAGCCAGTTCCCCCAACACTGTGTGTCCCAGTCGTATGTGCTGTTACTGCAGGGATGGGGACAAGCCCTGGACTCTGGACCTATGGCAATCCTAGAACTGGTTTTGCCATTATTTGACTTCGAGCCATTTATTTGACTATTTCACCACATGTCCCTTGTCTTTCTAAGTCCGGGAGCTGCTGGTGTCACGTCCACGCCACACTCTTAGGCCAGGGAATTGTCCTCATGTGTCCTGTCAGTGGTGGCCTGTGGGTAATTCAGCCATGTAATGCTCCTGTGTGCATTTTCCTGTCTAAAGATCGAAAGCGAAGAGTATGAGGAAGCCTTGTCTTTGGCTCACACCTATGGCCTGGATACGGACCTCGTCTATCAGAGGCAGTGGAGGAAGTCAGCTGTCAACGTTGCCTCCATTCAGAATTACCTGGTAACGTGATGTCTTTTTTGGTTTGGGTCTTGGCTTAAAGCATTCTATGTTGGTGGCTTTTCCTCAAGTGCCAGAGCATTTTTCTTACTCGGGAAGATGCTCTTGTCAGGACTGATTGCTCTGCAACTGGATTTTGCTGCTGAAGCTGATGGAACAAATAATCACCGACAGACTGATGTTGTCCTGGCCCTTTCCCCTGCTGTGCCAGTTACCCCACTTTATCCTCATTAGTCAGGGTCTACTCAGGAGCCACAGGGAGATGACGCCTTGATGAGAAGTATTTTCTGTGAACCAGCAGTGAAGTGCAAAGAGCTGAGAGAACTGGGAGGAGGCACTGAGCTGAAGGCACCTGCCCCTGGAGCAAGCACATAGGAAGGGAGGCCTCTTCCCCTCAGCGGGGACTCCCAAGGTGCGGGACTAAGAGCAGTGGTAGTGCAGCGAATTTTAGAAACGGGTCGGGTCCACAGTTGCCGGGTTGGCAGTCAGAAAGGGGTGTGGTAGCGAGGTATCTACTGCTAGAGTGCCGTGCATGGAGGCTCTGTGTGAGCAAACCCAGGGATGGCAAGCAGGAACCCCGGCCGCAGCACGGGATCAGGTCGGTAGGAGCCATGGCCAGGGATGGCAGGATGGATCCCTCCTCACTGCCTGGCTGGGAAGGAATCTGCCGAAGGCGACCCCAGGCTCTGTGGGAAGTTGTGACTGGGTGAAAGGGGGAAGCAAGGTCATTGTGTGCCTGCCCGTGCCCCCTGGGCCTTGTTGCCTGCAAGCCAGAGGCGAGGAAGAAAAGCAGGGAAGCCAGGACTGGACACCCAAGCCTCTTGTAGCGGCTGCAGTGTCCGCTGCTGACCAAGCTTAGCTGCAGATGAGAAATGCTGTGCTGCTTGGAGGGCAGGATATTTGGAGCTGAGCATTAATAGATGAGCTGCATAGCGGACTTGCTGACGACTCCTTTTTGCTTAAATCCTATGGTCAGGTCCTTTCTGGCACTGACCCCTTCTTAAGATTGCCACGTAGTCTTGACTTAGTTGGGGCTGCTGTGACACGGGGGTCACAGAAGTGGCTTATGGGGCTCCATGGGGCTGGCGAGTCCACCTGCAAGGTGCCTGACAGTTTGTGCCTTGTCTTCCAGGTTTGCAGATGAATCCCTTAGCGATGTGTAGCATATGGTGGAGAGCAGAAAGGAGCACCCCCTTCTTAGTCTCTTTGGGCACCAGTCCTGTCATGAGGGCTGTGCTCTGGTGGCCTAGTGGCCTTCAAAGCCCCCACATGGGTGTTCAGGTTCCGATGCAGAGGTTTTGGGTTGACAACCAGCTCCCCACTGGCCTGTGTGTTCTGACTCTTGGTGTCTTTGTAAGGACGTGGTTGGACGCATGGTGCGCCCTTATAGGGCTGTGCCTGCTGATCTGTTGTTTAGGAAGAAAATATGAGTGCCTTTGTGTATAGGAAGAGCCTAGGACATGTGGAGAAAATTCTTGATAGTTATATTCCCTAGAAGTTGATATTCATAATTAAACAAAAATATGATCAAAAAGGTTATTTGTAAGAAGTTAATGACTCAACCAAATAGCATGGTCAGCTGCGGCTTAATACCAGAGAGGAGAGAGCATGAGAGGTAATGGGCAAAGGGAGGAGACAGAGTTGCTTGTATTTGCTTCAGAAACCAAACAGCAAACCTGCATTTTCTTTTCAGTTTTTACTTTTAGGATTAGGACAGTGAGCTCCCAAGTGCGTGTCTCCTCACTTAAAGGCATTTTCTGAAACATGGTAGACGCAGTTTGGTTCCTGAAGGAGCTGAGAGCTGCCATGAGATTCAAAGCAAGGAGGAGTTTTAATTGTGGACGTATTTAATTCAGAGAAATAAATAGGCAGTTAAGAGTAAGAGCGCCTGGCTAGTGAGTGTAAAGAGCTGCCAGAGAGGCATAAGTGTAGCCTTCGCTGTGGAAGAGCTGAAAATCTCCCTGAGGAGACAGACTTCACACTTAGTGTTTGTCACAGGCAAGATTTCAGACGAAACCCTCGGCGCCTAGTAAAGTAGTGATCACTGTGGACTGAGGGAGTATGGAGGGAGGCTTCGTGCAGTGCGGATGTTTCAGACCAGGACCTAAGAGCAGAGCGAGGTCCTGCCCTGCTGCAGCGGAGCAGGACCCCTTTATGCGTGTGTTTGGGATTCGTAGTGGACGTGTTCACTGTAGTCTCCAGCCTGCTTGCTCCCCCTTTGCTTCCCTCCCTCATCTTCCCACCTTCAGAACCCCTTCCCATCCTTTCAGAGAACCAGTTCTCAGATTGACTGATCCTCTGGGTTACTTTTTTAGTCTCAATTTCTTTAATTTCTACTCAGATCTGTATTATTTCTTTCCTCCTGTTTCAGATTTGGATCATTCTTGTCTTTCTAGGACCTTGAGATGATCATCAAGCTGTTTATTTGGTATCTCTGTGCTGTTTATATGTGCGTTCATAGAGGAAAAAATTCTTAAGAGGACTAAGGGCTGGGTGTGGTGGTGCAGAGCTGTAATCCTAGAGCTCCAGAGGCTGAAGCAAGAGGGTTGCCATGAATGTGAGACCAGCCTGGGCTACATAGTAAGACTCTGTCTCAAAAGACAAGCAAACACCCCTTCTCCTCAAAAAAGGAAAAAAAACGAACAAAAAAGAGGATGAATGATACAAGCAAATTCAGAGACAGCGGCATGACTTGTGCAGTCAGCCACCAAATCCATTTTATTCACTGCTGTGCCCTCATCTGGTTCAGTACCTGGCACATAGTAGGTGCTCAGTAAACATTTCATTGGCAGATGAGCTCTGTAAGTCAGCTAGTTTGCCAGACTTGGTATTTGGTGGCTGTGAACGTTAAGGATATGATTAAACAGACTATTGGCTTGGGCTTCGGAAGATGTTGACATCTTGTGATGCCTTAGCTACCTCACGGATAGCGTCATCCTTCTGGACAGTAGTTATCAGGTGCTGTGTGATGCCTGGGACACTTTAATACCTCTGCTTTTATTTTCCTTTTATCTAGAGTAAAATAAAGAAGCGATCCTGGGTACTCCATGAGTGTTTGGAGAGAGTTCCTGAAAATGTGGAGGCAGCCAAAGAGCTGCTGCAGTACGGTTTAAAAGGCACAGACCTAGAGGCCCTCCTTGCTCTGGGGAGAGGAGCAGATACCGGCAGGTTGGCGAGGGGACGCTTCAGGGGTAAACTTGGGGTTACTCTGTATGGAAGCAGCTGTCTTGGTCAGTCCTTTACAATCTCGGGGAACAGATTTCTACCCTTTATGCTCAGCTTGTTTGAATGTGGGGCTCGATGCTGGGGAGATGCAGATTCTACCATCACTGACCGAAGCAGGGCTGTTTGTAAGCCAGGCTGAGGACACCAAGTGGGCCTGTCCTGCCGGGTGGACCCTTCAGGCTGGCCTGAACTTGTGGCCTCTGCTCACCTGGAGGTGGATACCTTTGTGACTACACCTTTGGTAGCATGAAAGAGCCGCCTAACCTTCTGAGCCCCATTTGTGTGCCGGTGATAATACTAACAGCAGTACGGTTATGTGACAAGAGGCAGTGTCTCAGCAGCAGTCCTGAATGTCGGCAGGTATTTGTGTGAACGATTGTGTATCTGAGGAGCGAATGACTTCCGGAGGCCGGCATCTGTTACCATTTTAATATCGTAAATGGGAGTAATTCAAATTGTGAACTCTGTCAGCAGCATTTTCCGTGCGGGCTGCCTTAATGTATTGGTGCAGACAGCCCCACATGTTTTCCTTAATAGTTTGCATTTCTTGACGTAAAGTCTCTATGATCATTATGGATGACTTTTTCCCATCTATACTATGGATTTAATGAATGAATCATTTTTGCTTGCCATGGCAAAAACAAGAAAAAAATGATTAGCTAGAAACCTCATTAACAGTTAGCTTTATTATTAGCAAGTTAATAATTAGCTGGAAAGTAAGTTAGCAATGAAATCACTCAAAATAGGAGAAAGCAACTTTTCACTAAGTGAAATTAAATAAATATAATCAGAATAGATTTGAGTTTTCTTTTGCTCGCTCAGGTTTACCCCGCCTGGTGACGTGGACATCGACGGCATTTCCTATGAGGGGCCCGCACAACCTGCGGAGGAGCCTCCCAGGAAGCAGAAGGAGAAGGCGCTCAGGAGGAGACGTGAGCTACTTAAACTAGTGAACTTCTCAGAGTAAGTGACCTCTTACTGCTCATTTGGCAGTTTCTCTAAAATAGTCATTTCAGCGCGTTCTTTTTCAGTGATGATTACTGGAACTGAAATGCATGAAGTGTTGTTTTACCCGTGTGCTTTTGTCTCCTGTTCTCAGAATGTGGTTTCCCTAGGATATTAACTGTTTTCCTCTAACTTAACTCCTAGAGAAATGTACATCTGTGTAAATGTAAGTGGCCTAATGCAGTTTTTCAAACAGGTTGACCCTGGAACAGAAGGAACTTTGCCATTGTAGACTGAAATTACTGACTTACTTAGATCGACTTGCAACATACAAGGTAAGAAGTGATTTTAATGAGATCAGTATCTCCATTTGGTCTGTTATTATAAACAGGCCTGTACTGGCTGCCCTTGGTCTTTAATGCTATTTATGTGGGGAAAATTAATTTTTTATAGAAGCAATTTCTCTTGGTTCTAGTTATAAAACTAGTAGATTGAAATGCCAGAAGTTATTTTGTGAGATTAGGGAATAAAAAGGCTTTAGCTGTTTTAGTGCATCTGTGTAGGATTTATAATCCTTTCATTTACTTTTATTTTATATTTTTATTTTAAGGTGCTGGCCGACAGCTCATTCCAGTACTTATTTTAGAACAGTGAGCTTTAAACAGTCTTCACATGACTATTTCTTATTGTCCTAATGATTTGGTAGCGGGGCCACACTTGAACTTGAGCAGTGTGCTTCGTATTGGAGTCCTCAGGGACACAGCACTGACATCTCATGGTGGACGTTGTGTGGCATCAGAGCCGTCTAGGTGCTGCTAGATGTGGAGGTGGAAAGGAGCCACCTTTCAGGGAGTGCACAGGGCTTACATTGCTCTTTTCACATGAAGCTCTGGGCTGTGACATAAGTTTCTAGATATTGTGCTTGGCTTTGCTTGAACCTCATTTGAGCCAGCTATGGTGTGTCCACAAAGGGGTCAGAGTGTGTGTGGCACCTGGCACCGGTGCACAGGTCCGTAGGCACTCAGTAGTGAATAACAGACATTTAGAACCCTGATCAGGAATGTTTTCCAACAAATCCTAAAAGGGGTTATTACCATGGTTATTAGAAAACATCACGATAACGTTGTTCAACACAAAGAAGTTAGGAAAAGTTCTTGCTAATTTTATTTGCAGGTACAACTGTTTCAGCTGTTGGACAGTGATGTCTCTTTATGCATGTCCCCTAACTGCGTTCTGTCATAGTCTGAGGTAGCCTCTACTAAGCACGTCTTGAACTGTAGAAGTCTGTATAGACACAGATTATTATTTTATACTTCACATTGGTTTATTACTGTTCCCTACATGGCTGTAGTAAGTACATTTGTTATTACACTGTAATAATGATACTTAAAGTATTTGATGAAGCTGTTTTTCTCAAAGAATTAATAAAACATTTGAAAAATAGATGATTTGGGATGGATGTGGCTGTTAAAATGTTGTAATGAAAATGTTCAGCTAGAATGGCTAGTTAGTGCGTTTTCCTCATAGAGCATGGCTTATTTTATTACTTCTACGAGCAAGGAGGTAAACATGAGTTCTCATGGATTTACCTGAGTGCTTACTCTATGCTGCATGTCACGCCATTGCACCTGGCAAAGGGAAGCATAGGACACTTTATCATCTACGTTATATAGCAAGTGAGTGACGAGGGGAAATCGAGAGTAGATGAAGGAGCGCAGTAGAAAGGAGCATGAAGTTCCCCTTGGGAGAGTTTGAGAAGTCACTGTGTAGCGAGTCCCCTTGCAGTTCATCCTCAAGGAAGCAAAGATTTCAGGGCTAGAGGCTCTGTAAGGAGTCTAAGTTAGGGCTTCCATCCTCTGCTCCTGTTGCCCAGAGCTCAGAGTGCTATGAGGCTCACTAGTGGAAAGCAGGCCATATTTGTTGAAAGATCTTTGTTAAAGAAATACCCACGGTTTTGTTGAGGACCCTTAGCTGTTACACGGTATTATAAAAAATTACAGTAGATATTACAATCGCAGTAAGACACATTGGTAGGAATCCCTCTCAACCCTTCTCTCCCTATTGTTTTGAACACATTGATACCAGGGTCCTTGCCCTTTTCTGCAGCAGCTCTGGAGTTCTCTCCTGAGGGTCTTTAGTTGCACTGTCCTTGCTGCCTCAATGCCCTGAAAGCATTCAAAATGTGTTCTTTCATGGTCACTTTGATGTTGGGGAAGAGCTAGAAGTTGCACAGACAGTTCCAGATCTGGTGACTTAAGGCAGATGACGATACACTGTCATGTGTTTATTTGACTGAAATTGTCACAAATGTTTGACCCATGACGTGTGATCACAAAACACTGTGAAGGCCTAAATTGAAAAGATTTAGTCTAGTAAAAGACATATGGTATCATTAATTCTTTCAGAATCTTCCCCCTTGCCAAGAACACACACCATTGTTTTTGACAATGTCTTTTTCAGTGTAATAAATTGTTTTCAGTCACCACTTCAGTCTGTCAGCTGTTGTCTCATGGACTTCACCTAGGTTATTTCCCAGCAGTCTTTTGAGGCAGTTAACATTATCCTTTCAGTTTTATGGACTAGGAAACCGAGACTTAGAGAAGGTTCGTAGTTTGTTTAAATAAATAGGAGGAAGAACTAACATCCGATCTCTGGTCAGGGAAGGGCCAGTGCCATGAAGGAAGAGTCCAGATGTCTGGGCCTCAGGGTGAGGCAGAGAACCAGGGCTGGAGGTACAGCGAGGAGAGTGGCTTGTAAGGGATCAAGTTGATTTTTGTAAGATGGTTAGTGAGTTGGCGAAAGAGTGGAAGTGCAAACGGAGAGAGTGGTTATGGGCAGCTCTTTCAAGAACTGTTACTGTGAAGAGGGCAGAGAAGATGGGGTGGTGGGCATAGGGTCAGCTTTCAGGTTGTTTTGATAGAAGAATTGTTCCTGTACTAATGGAGATGAACCAGCAGAGGGCAAGGAGGAATCTATAGACTAGAACAAAGGAATACTTAACAGGATTGTGGAAATGGAAGACAGAGCCTGGGTTGGTGGTGCATGCCTGTAATCTCAGCACTTTGGAGGCTTTGTCAGGAGGATTGCCGAGAGTTTGAGCCCAGCCTGAATGTCATAGGAGACCCTGTCTCAAAAAACAAAAAAAGAAATGGAATAAAAATGGAGAGCATGGATGGAAGTTGGGAGATATCTCTAGAAGGAGAGATGATTGCTTGTGCTGTATTGGAAAGGAGGGAAAGCAGGCAGGCACAGGTGCAGGCCCTCGTGCGGGCACAGGTGCACATGCAGGTGCAGATGCAGGTGCAAGTGCTGTGTGGGCAGGTTTGCCATTGTGGTGGGTGGCTGTCCGGGGGCTGCTCAGGGACTAGAAAAGCCAGGTTGTCAGATGAGCATGCAGCTTGGAGAACAGAACACCAGAGGTCTGGAAATCCTGAAAGCACTGTGCAGAAGCTCATAAGAAAGACGGGGAAGGAGGCCTTCTTGGGAGGTGCAATCCTGAGGAACAGGGCCAAGTATCAGTCTGAGTTTTGTTGTTGTATCAGTGTTTTTTAGTTTTTTTAAATAGTAAAATCTTATAAGCATGCTTTAAAATGTAGAAAACAACCTGATAACCTCTGATGTACTTGTTCTCAGCTTGAATGATTTTCACATTTTCCCAATCTTATCTTTTATTCCCCAACTTTCCACTTCCACCTTTTCACTTATTTTAAAGTAAATCCCAGGAATCCTATAATTTTACCCATAAACACTTAAATTTGTATCTCTAACAGATGAGGATTTAAGAAAATATCCACAATGACATTATTTCTAGCAAAGGCTCCTCTTATTTAAAAGCAATTTTCTTTTTAACAATTGGTTCATCCCCTTCCTGGATTTTAAGCTACTTGGAAGGAAGGGAAGGGAAATGTGATGTTCAGGGAGTTGCCAGCACCCGTCACGATGTCCCTCACACATAAGGGACACTAGTGCATACTTGGGGAATGAAGGAATGGCTCAGTCTGCATCTTACAGAAATGAAAATTACGTACAGTTAACCTGAATTTCTCGTGGAGAGGTGATCAGTGCTTATAACGCATGGCCTTGGATAACTGTCGCTTATTTGTTTCTGCCAGGTGGTTGCTGTTGGTTATTCTACTGTAATTAATTTCCACCGCCTAGTTCATTACTTCTGTAGTTAAAAAAGTAGCACTTATAAATATGGCCCTTTTTAAAATGAAGCGAAGAGTGCAGCTTGTAGTACTTTACTTAACAATTGATAGTTGAAATCAATTAACTCAGACCTTATTTATTTACACAGGCATTGTCATAAAGGTTTTTAATATTTTCTTGTCACCCATATTTAACGTTCTATTCATTAAATCTCTGTTTCCCCCCAGGAAATCCTAGCAGTGCCTCATGCCTCCGAGCAGAGATACGACTCTGAGTTCTTTAAGACGTTCAGGAGGCAGAATATTGTTCTCTCAGCAAGAACTTATGCTCGGGTAATTTCTTTTTTGTAAACAGAATAATTATGGTTATTAACACTCTGAATCTTGGAGCTGTGCAGTCAGTGTCATTGCACGTATGTACCATTGCACTATCTTTTCTGCTGTCAGACTAAGAAACGTGGAGAAAATTGAGTTACATGTTTAAAGAATGTATTCATCACTCAAGAGTTTTAAAAATGAATAATTTTTGTTTGTTTTGTTTTGGGTACTGGGGAATTGAACTCATGTCCTTGTGCTTGTGAGGCAGGCTGCAGAACCACTGAGCTAAATCCCTGGCCCAAAAATGAATAATTTTTGTAACCTTAGATTGCAGCCATATAAGCAGGACTATTTCAAAGTATATCATATTGGAACTGCATAAAAAGTAGGCTTTTGCATGTTGCCATGTAGGATTTCCTCGACTTTTCTGAGGTCCGTGTTGCGTCTTGTACAGGAGAGCAATGTGGCAGCCCTGGAGATTCTGTTCACTTACCACGGCCCTGACCTTCTTGCCCACCGCCTGGCGATTCTCTCCAACTTCCCAGAAACCACTTCCCCACACCACTACTCTGCGCTGCTGCCTGAAGCGTGGTATGTGACTCTTCATTCACTTTTACCTTCTTTTCTAAATGTAGAAATTCTTTGTCTTATGCAGAACACCTTAAATTAAAAAAAAATAATAATATTAACATGATCTGTTTAATTTTCCCCCCCCATAAACATAATTATTTTCAATTTATTTTTTAAATAATCCTGAAGTGAAAATAATAATAATAATATTAACATGATCTGTTTAATTTTCCCCCCCCATAAACATAATTATTTTCAATTTATTTTTTAAATAATCCTGAAGTGAAAATATATTTACCCTAGCAGAATCACCTGAACTTCATGGACAGAAAGTATTCTTTCGAAAGCTTCCTGACTTTCCTGCTGTCTGTTTGGTATATGCTGTTTTCTGGTCAACAACAGTTGAACGGTGTCTGTTTGAATTAGTTGTGTCTCATTGAACTGCACTTCTGACAGTGGTAGGGACCCATTGCATCCTGCAATGCTCAGCAGCCTTTTTTCCTTTTGAAATTCGAGAGACGCAGAGACAAATGGGAAATGGAAACACCACTTACTGTTAGACCAGTTCTTTTTTCACCTCAAGACTATTTGATAATTGGGTTGTAGCTCGCGGCACACTTTTTAGACATCATGCCTCAGTGTTTCTCCTTTTGGCGTTCTGGAGGCTGGAACATCAGCAAGGAGAACATGTTTGCCCCCTTGGACACAGCTCAGAAATGGGGAGGCCATTCGTCCCAGGCCCAGAGGGTGCTCGAGGGACGAGAGGTGTGCAGAGCATACTTCTCGTAGGTCAGTTACTAAATAGAGGCAGAAAGCAAGCGTGACAGCACCTGCCCGTGAGACCTTTTACACACTACGAGTGAGCTGCGTTTGCAGTTGCTGTTGCCATCTCTGGTCCCTGGAGACACAGTGCTCAGGGGTGCTGTTGAAAACGGACTGATCTGGCCCCCTTATTCTTACCTTGCTTCCCCCACCCGGTATATTTTTAGGATCAGGTGTTGGTGATGAGCAATATCCATAGAGTAATTGCCATGTATTTGGCACATACTTTCATCAGGTTTCCAAAGAATTTTCAGTTATCCCTGCTATTCTAGAAAGCTGGATCTCCAGAAGTTTAGAAGCATGCCAGTATATATATGTGAAGCCAGGATTGGAATTTACGTTTATTTAGTGTTGTCAGTATGCTGTATATATGCGTTATACATTTCTTATTTTTCATTATTGTTAGTACTAAAAAAGTAAATCTGTCTTCTGATAAAAGTAAAGAAAAACAGATACTTTTTTCGTTTTCAAATTTTAGATCTCGTGTTCTCTGTGAATATATTTTATAAGAGAATATGTTTCAGAATAAAATTGTCTATTGTTCTCTGGCTTCTTGCAAAGTAGACCTAATCTGGATAGAGATGACTTTTCTGACTGAATTGCCAGTCTACAGAAAAGGGCTACTGTTTCTCAGAGTGCTTTTCAAAGGTGTTTTCTCCTTAGATTTGAATGCAGTTATATTTATTGTTTTCTGATGATTGCTTGAACATTTGACTTTAACATGAAATTTCAGAATTGGTTTGGAAGTAGTTTCCCAGTGTCTCATGCTGTGCTGTCTTCGAATACCCTGTAGTTTTTAAGGTTACCTGCCTCAGGGATCTATTTAAATTATAATAAGTGCTTCGCTTATACAGTCTCACAGCAGTGTTTTAGAAGATGAAGCTGTCAAACCATTGTTTTCGGATACGAGTTTTAGAAAAACTTTAAGTCTCTGATTTTATGTGAGTCTTTAAGTTATATTCATTTTTAAATCCATTGAGAAAAATAAGGGTTGTTTTGTTATTGTTGTTAATCATTGTTTCTCAAGAAAGTCTTCCATATTGAGTTTTTTTCTCTTTTGGAGCGAGAAAGAACAATAGGATTTAGTGGTAATGTGTCTATCCTCTTACAGTTTGGGTAATTGCAAAACAAAGCCATAGTTAATGCTTTTGGTATAACATCTTCTGTGAGGTCTCCCATTAGTTATTCTTTTTTTTTTGATACCAGGGATTGAACTCGGGCCCTTGTGCTTGTGAGGCAGGCACCGGAACCACTGAGCTAAATCCCCGACCCCATTAGTTATTCTTTTCCTTATGTGCTTAGTGTTCTTTGTTGATCGTTTCATCATGACCCTTTTTACAGGTTAGTACAGTAAGTTGTTTTAGTTTCTGCCTTTCTCCTTGTTCTATCTTTTGTTTATTTATTTATTTTTGTACTGGGGATCGAACTCAGGTCCTTGGACTTGTGAAGTAGGCAGCGGAACCACTGAGCTAAATCCCTGGCCCTCTCCTTGTTCCATTTTAACAAACTCCCACCTTTAACCCCAAACTAATTGTGCAGCAGAATACTTGGGCTTTGGAAATATGTTGATACTGCTGTTAGTCAGATGTCTGAGACTCTGAGGACTAAAGCAGGGAAGGTATGCGGAGTAATTCATTGACTTTCAGGCACCGTTTTAGGACTGAGTGTGCAACATTTGCCTTCCAGTTTACGACCTAATTTTATGTTTCACATGTAGTTTCCATAGCGTGTTCTGGAAGTAGGTGCAAAAAAGATTGTCCTGCTCTTAGGGTGGAGCATTTGAGAAGCATTAGTGAAGTATGTCCTGCAATAGGGAATTATTTTAATACTTGATTTTAGTTGCATTATTGTTGCAGTGTGGGTGTAACTGCTTTGAATTGTTTTCTAATGATTCTGCTTTCATTTGCAGTTTTAAAATCTGAGCAGTTTGGTCTTTCCTTACTTCCTCCTTCCCCCTCCCTTCCTCCCTCTTTCTTTTGTTTTCTTTTTTCACTTCTAAGTGTTCCTGTAAAAGATGCTGTTACTGGATTCAGCATTACTGAGTGATATAAAATGCATACTTTTCATGGAGATGAGGTTTCTCTCTCATTACTCATTTTCTTCTTTAAATACCTGGACCAGTGATTTCAGAACCTGTGATCCTTGCATAGATATAACATCTCTGAATGTTGAATTCCTCAGGGTAGCAGTCCCTAGAATTCTTTTTGTTCCCATAGTGTCTTTACCAGTCAAGATCTCTGTGATATGTAAATAATTGTCTGTATCTGCAGTGTGTCATTATCACACTATATTCAGTTGACATATAAACAACCTTGGGAGACACTTTTTCCAATTGCTGATACAGCCAGACTGTTTAAACATTGTATTTATATACAGAAAATGCTATTAATGATGTGTGTATTTTATAGAAGAACATGCGTTAAGAAATGTTTTGACTCAGTATGTACCCATTTCTTTAAATCTTAAAAACGTGGAGCTGATGTAAAAGCTGTGAAGCTTCCATGGTGCCCTGGAGATCGGGCTCCCAGGACCCAGTGGTCACGCTGCCTTCAATGTGGCAGAGTAAACTGGAGCAGTGCCCCACGGAGCCTGGATGCCTGTGCTCCCCTCGCTGCCCTGTTTCTCAGGTCTGCTGCCACTGGCTGTATTACTTGGGGAAGTCCCAACTGCAGGTGTTCCGTCGCTGTTTGGTGCTGTTGAGGCATTGACGGGGTTGACCTGCTATGGGCCTCTCTCAGTGTCTGCTCTAGTAAATAGGCCAGCAGACAGACGGCTGAAAAGGCAAAACTGACTGTTTCATTAGGGAGCTGCAGTGGTTGGATGATGGCCTCTTGTCAGGTGGAAACCAGCATCCTCATGGCAACATCCTCAGGAGGTGTGGTCTTTGGGGAGGGAATTAAGTCCCCAGCTTGGCCCCAGCAATAGGATTGGTATCTTGGAAGAATTCTCCAGGCTCCAGGAAGCACATGTTTCCTTCCCCTCCTCCTCCAGAGAATGCCCAGGAAGGTGTCATCTTGGGGTGGAGCCTGCACCAACCAGACACCAGCCTCCAGGCCTTGGTCCTGGACTTCCGGCCTCTAGAGCTCTGAGCAGTGCATTTCCAGGATGTGTGTAGTGCATCTACCCCAGGAACGTTTCCTCCAAGGACTCTCATCTGGAATGCTGCCCCTTCCCTGACGAGATTGCAGGTTACTAATGTAAAGAATGGGGTAAAATGTTTTAACATTTTCATTTCAGTCATAGATACAGGAAAGAGCACGATTGACAATTTTCACAAAGTGAACGAGGTTAGGAAAGAGATCAGCAGAGTCCCTGTCCTCTGTCCTTTACCTTCCTGTGTCACCTTGCCCAAGATGCGCCTGACCCTGACCTCTGGCATGGCGCGATAGTCTCTTCAGGAGCAGAGCCATTCGTGAGACTGTCTTAGAGGCTCAGGACAGAGTCTGTGCTGCTCGTCTGGCTTCAGACTACGCTGTGGTACTCTGTGTGCAGCGTACAATGCCCGTGAGTGCTCACAGGGTTCTCCTCTCGGCTTCTGTATAATTGTCATGCACATGCTTTCATGTGTGTTGTGAACTCCACAGTCCTATTCTAGTATTTTTAATCAGTAACTTTGTTTTAAATTAGGGAATACACTGTACACACCCGTATTTTCACCATTCCCAGTACTCTTCTCTGCTCTGTGTGAAGTCTGGTTTCTATGGAGTCTCAAATCAGCTTCTGTCAGAATGACTTTCTTCCATGTTTCCTACAGGGGTGCTTAGCTGGGGCAGAATCATCCACCCCTCTGTATGCCTAAAGAAGTCTGTATCTTAGCTTTGTTTTGGAAGGTACAACTGTGAGACCCATTTCCTTTGAATTCTTGTGTTTTGCTTCTGTTGCCTGAATAATCTCTGATTTAACCGTGAACCTTGTCAGCTACGGCAGTGTGTTAGACTCATGCACACTGCCGATACCTAGACCCTCATCTCTCCAGCTCCTGCAGAACTGGCCTTGGAGCCTCTCTCTAGGTGCTCCTGGGCCTGCGTTTCTCTATGCCTGTCTCTGTGAGAGTCTGCAGTGCAGTTGCCCAGGTCTCTGAGCGCTCGAGAGTGAGAGGCTGCAGTGGGACCTGCACCACAGGGTCTCAGAGCAGACTGCTTTTGTGCGTCTGTGTTTACCCTGCATCATGCTGCACGCACTGGTTCATAAGCAGAGTC